GCAAGCAAGCACTGAGTTTTCAGAAGTAGGTGGTAGCACCTACCTATGTCAGTGGGGTGACAAGCTGACCTCCACAAGTTAGCACATACTCTCTCTTCTTGCTCACACCTACAACTGGAAAGTGAGTGCTGCCTTTCTTGTCTGCTGGTACTCATCTAGTTGAGAAAGCAAAGTTAAGCTCCTAAATGCACAGTCAGCTCCTGGATGCATGACTACACCACAGTATTCAAGTCTAACTGCTCCCAGCTGGAAACCATTTGCTTATTCAGGCTTTGTTGTAGATCTTCCACTGTAGCATGACTGCTCAAGGAATAAGAGGCTGAAAGAGCAAATTGCGAAGTTCTACATCCAATAGAGCCATTGCTACTGTAAGAATAAAGATCGGCTCATTGGAAATGCAAAACCTGTGTTAAGATTTTCTTCCAGATTCCCCCGGTCTTACTGGTAGTACAGGCACTTTCCTCCATCTAGTGGCAGGTTTGGAATAAGCATCCATACAGCAAAAAAGAGCACAGAACTCACTTGACATTGGGACATTCATCACAAACAACTTCTTGAGTCATCTGGAAACGTCCAGGACCCAACTGGGTGGTCCTCATCTCCTGCCGACAATTGCATTTCCGTTTGCCAGGTGCCTGTCTTGCCACTGGCTTGTTTCTGACAACCTGCACAGAAAAGGAAAGGGCTGACACGAGCACACAGGCCAGCACTCCTGGGTTTCCACAAGGCTCTGGACTTCTCAAACACCCTGAACACAGTTTGTTTTAAAACATGAGACACCTGACACGTTTGGTTACAACAGCTTCCTCGTTCCATGCAACAGGCAAAACTACTTGGAGCTCCCCATTTACCCCGCTGCTCACAACACAGACCTAGTCAATGCAAGTTCTAACATGCAGAAGAGCAGGGATTGTCAGCACTAGAAATGTCACTGCAGACATGCAAGCTACATGTTTGGCCATATAAAGAGGCTACAAAAAAACCTCAACATGGTTTTGCAAGAATTGCAAAATTAATTAGAGGTTTATGAATGGGCCTCAAATATCACTAAGTTGTAGAGAGAGACCACTTACACCTTTTCCAACGGAGCTACTGCAGCAACAACAAGAAGCTACAGCAAGTCACTGACAACCAATAAATGAGCTCTGATCACAAGCATCATCCCTTTATAGGGAAACTGCCAGAAGGCAAAGATGAATAAATGCATTGTTTCTTCAGTTAACTACAGCATCACAACATCCTCCACTGTCACTGCCAGATACTGAGAAAATGAGCACCTATTTTATTTCTACTCTTTGGGAGAGGATAGCATCCTGAGCAGTGACCAGGCATCTCAAATCTGAGAGACCATCAGGGAGGTGGTCAAACTTACTTCTACGAAGTTTCCCGAATACACCTCTTCCAGCGTAACCTCCAGGTCCACAATGATGTCGCTGCCTCGGGGAATGTTCCTGTCTTGTTGGCGAGGGTTACCTCCAAACATGAATCCAAAGTCTCCAAAGAAGCTGGAGTAAAGCACATCAATTAGTTCAGGAAGGAATTTTGATCAACTGAGGCTTTCATGAAGAAAGCCACCAGAGACAGCAGCAACGTGCTGCTTGGCAAATGCTTCCAGCCCCCTCAGAACAGCCTCCTTGCAGTACAAAAGCACCTCAGTAAATCCAGATACCTCTTTTTGCTCCTCGAGGACACACATTAATGCCTTCAAACAAAGCAGTCACTTTAGAAGAGTTTCCTGACCTAAAGAAAACAAGTTCTGGGGCAGGAGTCAAATGCCAACACCTCTAAATCTGACCATTGCCTAGGGGAAAACCTCTCCATACCACACTGCTGCTTAGCTACCATCACCACAAGGTGCAAACTCTGAGTAGCGTTCCACTTCTGGCACTGCAAGTCAGTGCTAGCAGGTTCATTTTCAGTAGTTTGAGGACAACAGTGGTGAGGAAAAAACCCTTCCTAGCAAGTCTGCATATTTTTCCTCAAAACAGACCAACAGATGGTATGAGATTTCAGCCAGAAGGATTATGCGAGATGAGCAATTTCACAAATTGTTTTGGTGAAATAGAGCCTAGCAGAACCAGAGAGACCTTAACTAAACAGAAAATCAGGTTCTGCCTGAGCAACATGCAAATGCCTTCAGATTTTAAGGATCCAAATTCCACAGCTGCCCTGAAATGTAGTGCAAGTCACTACAACATTACTTTGCAAAAAAAATAGCAATCCCCAAAGCACACTCATGATCTGTGACAATAAGTTAAACATCAATCATGTACCAGAGAGCACAAGAAAGTCCCCACGTGCTTAACACAGCTGCAGCACCTTACAAATCACCCCCACACAGCTTGTCATGGGAGCAAGAGCTGCCTCTGTGGGAAGGCACCACTGGTTCCTATTTGCTGTTGTGGATGAAAGAACTGATACAGGACAGACAACTGAAAACTGCACATGGGATATCCACAGTAAATTTATTTCTTCCAATTCTCAACTGTCCCTTCAGATCAGTGCCGCCTGACTGGGTAAAAGGCCTTAACATAGAATTTGCCCACGTCAAACACACACGAGCATCACAAAACTTGGGCATCAACTACATAAGAGCCTAAAGCAGCAAAATCTCCTTACTGTGAGAAGATGTCTCCATGGGAGCTCTGGTGCCCATCCTTCAGTCCCTCCTCACCGTATGCATCGTACTGCTTCCTCTTCTCCTCATCTGACAGGACCTGGCAAGGGAATGCAAGCAGACAAGACAGTCACCCACAGCTGAAACGCATGATTTAATCACAGCTCTGATAAGAAGCTCACCAGTGCTCTTCACTGGGGGCCAAGCAGCAGTGCTGTACATTATGAAAGCACTGGATAGAACTTGCTTGCTGTGCTGGACTAGAAAAGTTAAACATTTATCAATTAAACCCATAACAAGTACAGTTAAGTTTATTAAACAGCAGAAGTAACAGAAAATATAAACAACACTGAGTTTATAGTAAGGATTAAAAAAAAGAATCAGAAAAAACAAATCAGTTCCTACAGAGCAGGAAACACTGAAAAAAATAATCACATAATAGCACCTTTATTTCTCAGTTTGTTCTTCAAGCATGCAGAACACACATTTCTCAACATACTCTTTTGTAACACTTAGCAATGATGAAGTTTGCCTACAAAGCTGAACCTGACAAATACCCTAACTCTGCAATAGCTGGCCCTCATTCCTAAGGGCAGCAAAAGTCAGCAGTAACTTCAGTACTGAGGAAGAAGAACAGATCCGAACACACGTGGCTTTCAAGACGTCAGTTT